TTAATGGAATATAAAATTTCAACCTACTCCCTAACGGGTCTTTTGACTTCAGTGACTCCTGTTGCAATATCATTTCAGCATCAACTTTTGTTAAAAATCTATTTCTGTCTCTTGTTTATGCTTTTTAAGTTTAGCTAAAAATGTATCATTTTTGCAATTTGTAATAAAGGACACTTTGTTTCTTAGGTCCTTTGTGTTCTTTGAGTTTCCATATCTTTTTTTTTCCGTCTCTGATCATTATTTTTCTATCTACTTCTCTGTGTCTCATTTCTTCTTGGCTATCTCTGACCTTGAAATCTATGGTTACATGTTTCTTTGAGATAATTCTTTTTTTAAAAAAATCTTTTGCTGTGCTCATTCACAAGCACTGCTATTAATTACATTTTATCATAGTTGACAGAAGTTTCTATCTCACCATGTCAGTCCCAAAGAAGCACACAGAGGTCCACATTAATTATAAACTGGTTGGCCTATTAGCTCAGACTTCTTATTAACTCTTAATCTTACATCTTAACCCATAATTCTTGTCTGTGTTAACTACGTGGCTTGGTACCTTTTATCAACGAGGCATTCTCATCTTGCTTCTTCTGTGTCTGGGTTATAATGGCAGACTGCATCTTTCCTCTTCCCAGAATTCTCCTGTTCTCATGGTCCTGCCTCTACTTCCTGCCTGGTCTCCCTGCCTATACTTCTTGCCTGGCTAGTGCCCAATCAACATTTTATTAAAACAATACAAGACTATTATCCCACAGCAGTAAAGAACTTGCAAATCAAAAACATATCATAGGGAAATTAGCTACATACTAAAAGTCTATTCATCTCAACAAGCTTCTAGAGATACCACGAGAACAGCCAATCCCAAGCTGTGGAGCTTCACTTTATATTTTATACTTTTGTTATTAAATATACTTCTAGGCATTTACCTACTGTGGTGGTCTGAAAGAAAATGGACCCCAAAGGCAGTGACTCTACAAGAAAGCGGCTTGTTGAAGTAGGTGAGACCTTGTCGGAGGAGGTATGTCACTGTGGGAGAGGGTTTTGAGGTATCTTTTGCTCAAGCTTCCCTCAGTGTGACTGTCAGTGAACTTTCTGTTTCCTCTGAGTCAAGATCTAAGGGTTCTCAGATCCAGCATCACATCTGCCTTGTATGCCTCTATGATCTCCACCATGATGATAATGGACTGCCCTCTGAAACTGTAAGAGAACCCCTTTAATTAAATGTTTTCATTATAAGAGTTGCTGTGGTCATGATGTCTCTTCCCAGCAATAAAAACCCAAACTAAGACATCTACCACAAAAAACATGGCACAGTTAAAACAACAAACATGGTTAGCTTTATAACATCTTTTATGGTTTAAGAGTCTGTTATCTGCATTCAGATCTTCCTTACCATCTAACATTTGTCCTTTCTTGTTATCCTTTCAACATGTTATACTCTACCCATTTATATGTTTGCTTGTGTGTGTGTCATGAAAAACATAGCAATTAAATACCAAGACAAGAAAACTGCTAATCAACAAGTGGGATAATGACTTGAATAGACAGCTTAGAAAAAAAAGAAAGAAAGAAAGGAAGGAAGGAAGGAAAGAAGGAAGGAAGAAAAGAATAAATAAATAAATAACTACTTACTATTTTAAAGATTGTGTCACCGGGTTAGTGCCAGGTCCGGTGTCGCTTTCTCGGGCCTGCAGATCAAGATGTAAGGGTCTCAGCTACTGCTCCAGTGTCTGCCTGATGCTACCATGATCCCCAACATCATGATAATGAACTAAACCTCTGAAACTGTAGCCAAGTCCCCAATTAAATGCATTATAATAGTTTTCTTGGTCATGGTGTCTCTCCACAGCAATAGAACAGTGGCTAGACCTAATGAAAAAAATATTAAGAATATACAAAGGCAGAGGAGTGTTGTGAAATATTATTTTAATTATGTAAAGATGTGTTACAGCCGGGCGGTGGTGGCGCACGCCTTTAATCCCAGCACTCGGGAGGCAGAGACGGGCGGATCTTTGTGACTTTGAGGCCAGCCTGGTCTACAAGAGCTAGCTCCAGGACAGGCACCAAAGCTACAGAGAAACCCTGTCTCGAAAAACCAAAAAAAAAAAAAAAAAGCTGTGTTACATTTGTTTATGCTGTGGAATATTACTTTAATTGGGTAAAGGTTACAGTTGTTTATGCTACATTTGTTAAATGAAATAAGGATGTGTTCAATTGTGTAACGACGTAGTGCATTTATTTCACCTTTCGCCTAAGGCATCTGATTGGTCTAATAAAGAGCTGGACGGCCAATAGCTATGCAGGAGAAAGGATCAGTAGGGCTGGTGGGCAGAAAGAATGAACAGGAGAAGGAATCTAGGCTAGAGAGAGAGAGAGAGAAGAAGAGAGCAAGGGAGATGCCCAGGGCAAGAAATTAGCCAGCTGCCAGCCAGCCAGACACAAGAAGCAGTGAAAGTAAGATATATAGAAGGAAAGAAAAGTTAAAAAGTCCTGAGACCAGAGATAGATAAATAGAAACAGGTTAATTTAAGTTCAAATAGCTAGCCAGAAATGAGTCTAAGCTAGGCTGAGGATTCAAAACATACTAGGTCTCTGTGTCATGATTTGGGAGCTGCTTGACCCAAAAGGAAAAGTTTGGTACAGAGAAGGGTGTCTAAGCTCTCTGACCTGCCAGAATTATATCAGTGATGCGAGATGGGACTTGGAAGGGGTCTAAGAAAGCTTGCTGCTTAAAAATTTAAGAAGATATCTTTATAATTATGGGTTGATTATACTCTTTAAGTCGTTTCATTCAATAATATTGTTCTTAGGCACACAGATTTCCTTTCAGAATTGGAAATAAGAGCTGGGCATGGCGGCACATGGCTGCAATCCCAGCCCTCAGATGCTGAGATGAGAGGAGTCCAGATTTGATGACATCTCCAGCTGTACAGTAGAGCCTGTTTCAGAATGACGAGAGAACTACCTGTACCATGGTGAAACATCACACGGGGTAACACTTGTCATGTTTAAGGCGTCCTTTGGGATGGAAGTGATCAAAGATTTTAGTGATACAATGCTGTTTATCTTAGTCATGGTTTCTACTGCTGTGATGAAACACCACGACTTAAAAGAAAATTGGGGAGGAAAGGGTTTATTTGGCTTATACTCCCACATTGTGTTTCATCATCGGAGGTAGTCAGGACAGGAACTCAAACAGGACAGGAACCTGGAGGCAGGAACTGATACAGAGGCCATGGAGGAGTACTGCTTACTAACTTGCTCCACATGGCTTGTTCAGCCTGCTTTCTTATAGAACCCAGGACCACCAGCCCAGGGGTGGCCCTACCCACAATGAACTGGGCAACTGCTTGTATGATGTATTTGTCCTTGTCTCAGTTACAGAGTCCCCTTAATCCCTTGGAGTCCCCTGAGTGATAGGAATGTTTTCTTACCTGTAATGATCCCACTTGGATCACATCTAAATTTATAGCTGTGTGTTGAACACACCTGGGTAGCTTCAGGGAAGGCTAGTTAGCACAAAGACTCAATGATTAGAAGGTAGAAGGTGGAGTCCTCCGACCCACTCACCTAACCTGGAAGAGCTGGGCAGAGTAACGGACAGAGATTAAGCTCCAGAAAAATTATGACAGCACCTTCATACTCCCCATAGTGCTGGGGGAGTGTAAGTCACTGCCATGAGGGCAGATCACCCAAAATGTCTGGTCCACTGGCCTTGTTCTTCTACAAACTTCCCTCTTCTAAGATTTTCTGGATTCATCTCCAAGGCCACAAAGGATTTTCTGACCATCAGAGTCAATTTGTGCCAGCAGGAGAGACTCAGAAGAGGAGAGGGCCCAGGGAACTCATACAGGAAGCAACTCCTACCTTCACCATGTGGACCAGGGAATGTATCTCCCAACCACTCTAACTCTCTTCCTTCACAATAGCTTTTCCAGAAACTGCATAGTTGCCCTTCCTTGTGCCATGCAATGCCCTTCAGACCTATGTAAGGCCAGGAGCAGTGAGGGCTCCAGATACACCCAATCAGGACATCTTGAATTTTGCAGAAAAATGGATGGAGCTAGAAAACGTTATTTTGAGTGAGGTAACCCAGACACAGAAAGACAATTTTCACATATACTCACTCATAGGTGGTTTTTAAACATAAAGCAAAGAAAACCGGCCTACAAATCACAATCTCAGAGAACTTAGACAACAATGAGGACACTAAGAGAGACTTACATAGATCTAATCTACATGGGAAGTAGAAAAAGACAAGATCTTCCGAGTAAATTGGGAGCATGTGGACCTTGAGGGAGGGTTGAAGGGGGGAAGGAGAGGCAGTGAGAGGAGCAGAGAAAAATGTAGAGTTCAAAAAAAAATCAATAAAAAAATCTATTTAATAAAGCTTTATTTATTTAAAAAGAAAAAGAAAAAGGTGGATTAGCATTCCCAGGGCCTACCATACAGGCGTGAGGCATTATTCTAACCACTGTGCATATGGTAACATCACTGGAGGTAGGTTACATTTAGACATTATAAAGAAGAACCAGACAATACAGGGCAGTTACCTTGTCTGCGCCCATATAGCTGCTTAGTGAACAACCCAGAATGTCAGCCCAGGATTCAGGTCCCACGGATGTCGGAGAATATGCTGTGATACCTGTCTTTATCTCCAAGTGTTTGTATTCCAAACCATGATTTATATATGGTGATAATTGATAACAATGGTGTCTGGATCTTCCAAACCTTTCTGAGAATAAAGACTATACTGAACAGTTTGGGAACGCTGCTTTCGATAAACTAGGTTTTCTTCTGAAGAAAGTGCTGAGTGGGCACAGTGTACGTGTTCAACTGTTTATCTGTGCTCAGCACTTATACAGCGACGCTGTTGGAACTTTAGACTTCATTTTCTGTGCTAGATGGCCGACATTTCATTTTCTACCACAAATGAGCGAATTCTCTTTCCTAGAACCTAAACAGCTGTGCAGTTGGCACATCTGGAATTCTGAAGAACATTGAAATACACAACTCTTGATGGGGCATGAACTTTATTCCAAGTCACTGAAGGTTTTCAGGAAGCCATCACTGCAATTCCTCTTGCTCCCCTGGGAAACTGAGGCTCGCTCTGTGCTCGCTGCCTCCTCAAGTTGGAGTGCATTTCTGGCGGAAGTGATTACGTTAGTCTTTCGCCGAAATGGCATCTGGGAGAAATAGGCACTACATGGTTCTGTTCCTGCTGCTGACTGGGCCCCAAAGGCCTCTGGGTAAAGAAGTGGGCAGGCATTGCACAAGGCAGCAACAGTCAGTCTCTGGGTAAAGCCGTTGGTGGACCGTACATTCGAGCGCAAAGACTTCTGGATGAAGCCGTTGAGAAGCTGCTGCTTTGGCACAAAGGTCTCTGGATGAAGCAGTTGGTGGGCAGTGCTCCTGCTTGGCGTGGAGGACTTTCGTGAAATTCAAGGTCGTGGGCACTGCGACGTTGTTATTTTAGGTGAAAAGGGAGTAATGCAGTGAATGTCTGAAATCTTTGTTTTCTACCTAACACAAGTATTCACGTCAGGGAACCCCCCCCCCCTTTTTTTGTGAACTTCCTGTATTCACTCCTTAGTTTCTTTTTTTTAAAAATTTATTCATTTATTTATAAAAAAATTTTCACTTCCTCCCCTCCTCCCAATACCCTCCCACTCCCCCCACTCCCTCCCCTCCTCCCTCTCCAGTCCCAAGAGCAGTCAGGGCCTTTTGCCCCGCTGGAAGTCCAAGTTCCTTCCCCCTCCCTCCAGGTCCAGGAAGGTGAGCATCCAAACAGACCAGGATCCCAGAAAGCCAACACATGCAGATGAAACAAGACCCAGCGCCATTGTCAATGGCCTCCCAGTCAGCCCCCGTGTCTGCCACATTCAGAGAATCCAGACCGATCACACGTTCAGTCCCAGTCCAGCTGGCCCTGGTGTGCTCTCATTAGATCAGTCCTCTTGTATCAGTGGGTGAACGCACCCCTCGCGGTCCTGACTTCTTTTTCATGTTCTCCCTCCTTCCGCTCCTCATTTGGACCTTGGGGGCTCAGTCCAGTGCTCCAATGTGGGTCTCCGTCTCCATCTCCATCCATCCTCGGATGAAGGTTCCCTCCGATCCTGCCTTCCTTGCTCACGCTCTCCCTCCGTCTGCTTCTCATTTGGACCTAGGGTCACTCCTTAGTTTCTTAAGCTAGGTGTGGGAGACAGTGTAGTTCTGTCTCCTTCACTTACTTGTTTTGTAAAGCAGCTGACAGCCTTGCCTGTCTGTTAGATTTGTGCACATCTGAAGCAGGTCAACTCGTGTTTTTCTCTTCTTTATTACTGAAGGATATTGGGCAATTTAATCTCTAGCTGTCATGTCGCTTTCCCAGGAGTCATTTCCATGGCGGAAGTGGGTGGAGTGGGTCGGGGGAGGAAGGGAGAGACTTGAGTTTTCTAGGGCTGCTGGAACAAACTTGGAGTAAAACAAATGTACTGTCTCACAGACTGGGGTTTTAAGAGTCTAAAATCAAGGTCCTGTCATGGTTGGGTAAAATGAACTCTTAGAGAGTATGCACCTCCCTCATAGCGTCCGATGCTGGTTGGCAATCCCAGGTGTCCCTTGGTTTGTAGACTCACCATCATCGCTACGTCATCTGCCGGTCTTCCCATCAAACCCTGCTGTGTGTCTTTTTTCACTTTGCATAGGAAAGTCACCAGATTAGAGCCCACTCTAATCTCATGAACTCATCTTGGTTACATCTGCAAAAATCTGTATTATGGTTTGAATCTATGTCCCACATAGATTCAATGTTTTGAATTCTTGTTTGCTCTTCTCTCCAGCCTTGGTTTTTGGGAGATTCTGGAAACTTCCGGACAAGGGACAGTGGCTCTTAATGGCTCTAACCCATGGACATATCTCATAGACGGCCTCTGCTCTTGGCCACTGCAAAGTGTGTGCACAGCGGTGTCTGCTACGCTCTGCTCTCTGCCGCCACCGTGCCCTGCGCTCAGTTCACATGGCCAAGTAAGTGCAAACACTGGTTTAGAAAGCTGAAATAATTAACTCATCTCCCTTGTTACTTTCATCAGGAATTTATCCCAGTTATGCTGAATAACTAATACAACCTTAATTCCAAATAAGGTTGCATTAGCAGGTTCTGGAGTTAGAGTTTGACACAGTTTCAGGAGCATGCAACTTACCCTACAAAAACACACCATCTTAATAGCTTTTCTTATGAAGAATACCTTGGACCTGAGGAGCTGTGGTAGTTGGTAAAATGTTCTTGGTTTTGAGAATGAAGCCGTGAATGTGATCCCCAGAAACTATGTAAAGCCTGGGTATGGTAGTTTGTGCTGGTTGTCCTTGCCCTGGGAGGAGGGAGACAGTCTTCTCTGGAGCTAGCTGGCTATCCAGTCTAGCTGAGTTGGTGATCCCCAGGTGCCAGTGAGAGACTGCCACAGAAGACAGGGTGGACAATAACAAGGTGAACGGCTTCTGAAAAACACCTCAGGTGACCTTTGGTCTTTGCCCACACACCTGCCTGCAAACTTCCTGCCTCCTTTTATGCTCAGCTCACATCTGATTTTAAATATAATGTATTTATTTTTTTTATTTTTAAAATTAAATAAATTTATTTTACATCCTGGCAGGAGATTTCCCTTGCTCTTCTCCACCCAGTCCCTCCCCTCTTCCCCGTTGCCCCCCACAACCATTCCTTCTCCATTTCTTTTCAGGAAAGGGCAGGTCTCCCATGAGTAGCAATGGAACATGGCATATCAAGTTGCAGTAAGACTAAGCACCTCTTCATGTATTAAGGCTGGGCAGGGCGATCCAGTAAAATAGATTCCAAAAGCCAGTAAAAGAGTTAGAGACAGCCCCTGATCCCACTGTTGGGATTGTTCCCAGAAGAGGAACAATCTACACAACGCTAACATATATTCAGAGTCCCTAGGTCAGTCCCATGCGGCTTCCTGGTTGTTGGTTCAGTCTCTGTGAGCTCCTATAGGCTCAGGTTAGTTGATTCTGTAGGTTTTCTTGTGGTGGCCTTGATCCTTCTGGTCCCCACAATCCATTCCCCCTGCTTCTGCAGATTCCTCAAGCTCTACCTAATGTTTGGCTGTAGGCCTGCATCCGTTTCCATCAGTTGCTGTATGAAGCCTCTCTGATGACTGTTGACCAAGGCACTAATCTGTGTGTATAGCAGAATTGTTAGGTATCATTACATTGACATTTTGTCCTCTAGTCGTGGTTGGTTCTATCCTAGGTCTCTCCATCACCCAACCTGTAAGTAGGTCCTGGTGTTTCAGGCTGTTCATGGGTAGGCTTACTCTCCTGGTATGGGTTTTTGGCTAGGCCACCATTATCCCAGCACATCCCATAGTTGGGACAGAATGTAAATCGAAAGCTATGTGTCTGGGTTGATTTTTCACTCCTTCCACTTGAAGTCTTGCCTGGTCCCAGGAGATGGCCAGATCAGGCTACATACCCACTATTGCTAGGAGTCTTAGCTGGGATAATCCTTGTAGATTCCTGGGACATTCCCTGGTACCAAGTTTTTACCTTGACCCTGAAATGCCCCCACTTTCCAGGAGTCTCTTTCAGTGCTTTCTTCTTCCATCCCCACCACAACCTGATGTATTTACTGTTTAAAAAAATGTGGTGTGTGTGTTTTGCCTGAGTGTACATATGTGCACCACACGTGTGCCTAGTGCCCGCAGAGGTCAGATCCACTGGAACAGGGGTCACAGATGGTTATGAGTCCCTGTGTGGGTGCTGAGAACTGAACCCCAGTCCTCTGCAAGAGCAAGTGCTCCTAACTGCTGCCGAGTATAGCCCCTGTTTTTATATAACCATTGAGTGTAATTAGTGATTCCCATATACATATGGGTGTGAGACCGTCCTCTGGAGCATGCTCAGCCTACTACCATGGACCACACTCCTAAAGAAAACTGAGTTTCCATCTCCTAGCTGCTATCAGCTGTAAATTGCTCCCCAGGGTTGAGGTTCATGTGTCCCATCTGTGCCTGTATGTGACCGTATTCAAATGAGTTTCATTAGATTTTTTTTCAAAGTAGTGTAAGTAAGAGGTTATTATTACCTTGGGCACCTTAACCTGTGGTCACACCACTGAAGAAAATGTATTTCCCTCTCGCAGAACCATTAGCTGCCTCTAGATCCTCAGGTCTGTCGTGGTCTCCTGAGCCCTTCCCCATGGCAACTATTAATTGCCTATGAACCTTCAGGAAGAAGTGGGGAATTGTCTCTCCATGGTAGGAAGTTGATGTGCTCAACCTTGTGCATTCATTACAGTTGCTGTGAACTTAACATGCCACAACCATGCTAGACCTGGAAGACAGTTTTGCACAACACTCAGCCTGGTCCTCTGGTCTATTGCTCAAAAATGTTTTCAGTTGTCACCAATAATGTTTTCTTCATGTTGAAATTCCTCCAGAGTTAATTTTGGGGTCACCATCTTCACAGCAATAATTCACCCACACTTTTAATCTGAAGTCTTTTTCATTATTTCCCCTCTCACATAGACAGAGTCTGTGTATGTCCTATAGGAAATGGATCAACACTTGGGAGAAAGCGTGATAAAAATAAGATTTGTAGGTGTTTTAAAGTTCCAACTTTAACCTTAATCGTTACTAATTGGCTGCCTGACTTCTGTAGATGTGATTTAATCATACATAAGATGCAAATATATAAAAGGGCATATTTAGATTAAAATAGATGGATCTTTCACTATTCTGGTTATGGTTTAAATAACTTGATATAATTTTTATTCCTTTAAGTGAATGCAAACCAAAACAATCAAAAGGATAATCATAACTTCCGGAACTCACATGATGTACTCTGAACCTCTGAACCAATTGCCGAATTATCAAAACAATATGAAGTTAAGTGTGTAAATTTAATCAGAATAGCATTTTTTGAGACAGAGTTTCTCTGTAGCTTTGGAGCCTGTCCTGAAACTCGCCCTGTAGACCAGACTCTGCCTCATGAGTGCTGGGATTAGAGGCATGCACTACCACTGACCAGCTCAGAATAGCAATTTTATGGACTAGTTGAATAGTATAGGGCTTTCTTTTGAACTTTTCATTGCTTTATTTACAGGGAGGGATTAAACTTTTCATCTATAATTTGGAAGCAAAATTCATCACAAAATGCAGGCAGAAGTTTCTGTCTCACCCACTCCTGCAGACAATCAATCCTAAAGAAACACACAGAAGCTTATATTAATTAATTATATAATTATAAATTAATTATAAATTAATTTGGCCTGTTATATAAATAACAGGCCAAAATTATAATTTGGCCTGTTAGCTTAGACTTATTAACTAGCTCTTTTAACTTAAATTAACCCATAATTCTTGTCTGTATTTAGCCACATGGCTTGGTACCTTTTCTCAATAAGGCATTCTCATCTTGCTTCCTTTGTGGCTAGCTGGTGATTGACTCTCTTTGCCTTTTCTCTTCCCAGGATTCTCCTAATCTGGTTGCCCCACCTATACTTCGTGCCTGTCTATTGGACAATCAGCATTTTATTAAACTAATGTGAGTGACAAATCTCTGCAGTGGACAAGAACATTGTCCCACAGCAAATAAAACATGTATCAGTCACTAGCAATAAACTGGAGAATGTTCCAGAATTGCCATATGAAAAAGGACTAATTCACAGTCATCATCTAACCCAAAGGAAGACACTGAACAAAATCATTTGAGAAGAAGATTGGAGCAATTGTCCTAACATCTGGACCACTGGAGAACTCACTGAATGATGTGCTTTGTCCATGATCTCTAGGAAGACACAGGAACAAGCAACAAAAATGAAATGACTGGAAGATGACAGATGTCAAGCTCCTGAATCTGGTGAGACACCGACGCCTCCCATGATGCGCGCGTTCCCACAGTGGTGCCAGGTCTGGCGATTCTCTAGCAGGATATACAGGACTCAGCACACAGTTACACCTGGATAAGATTTATTACAGAGAAGTGGAGGGTGGGTGCCTACGAGGAAAGGAGAGCCAAGCCTACAAGGTCTCCTCCAAAGTCCACAGAACTTGTTTAATTTCTCTGACATTGAGTTGTGGGAATGCATGTGATGTGTGAGCCCGTGAAGAACATTAGAAACAAATGCAGTGCTCAGAGTTTATTGCAGATCTGTCACATAGGTGTTGTGTTCATAGAAGGTACCAATAACTCAGACTCACACAGAAGCAGGTGTTCGACACAAGCCACACTGATTATGCACACAGCTTAGGGTGTGCACCACTCTTGTGAGTGAATGGTTGGAACTTTCCTGAAAACCAGTTTCTCAGGTGCCAGGTTAAGGCTGACTTTGTAACAGCCAGACTTTGTGGGGAGAGTGTACTTAGTGCTTTGGGCATTCATGGGCAGAACAGGTAGAGTCCTGAGTATTCCTTCAACACTAGGAAATAGGGTAAAGACCACTGTCCTTGCCCTTTTTCTCAGCTAAATGACAGACAAGGGGTGGAAGTTTGTTTATGGTGCGGACAGAAATAAGTCTGACTGCTAACAAGTCATGGCAGATCAGTCACGGCAGAGATTAATTTACATATAAATTTTGTTAAATGTAATTTCAAACTGAATTTATTTCATTTGCTTTGCACTCTTTCATAGGTTTCTATGGTGGAAGAAACTGTTAATTCAGCGGTGAAAACGGAGATAAATCACGATGCTTTGCTTCTTCATCTGTAAGTATTGTAAGCCTAATACAGAAGAAATGGAAGTGGAGAGGCTGAGGATTTTTCGTTTGAGCCATGTATATAGTCAGAATGGACCTATAATCATGGAAATTATCCCATCAGGAAACTTCCCTGCTCATTTGTCCATCCTCTGCCAGCCCTTATCTCAGCATTGAATTTGGGCATGTCTGTATCAGAGTGAGTGTGCATGCCTGCGTGTGCGTGTGTGTAGTAGGAAAACACACACGCATGTTTACATGGATGGAAAAGGCTGCAGTAAGGTCTGTAAAAGGTGTCAATATAGTACTGTTTTTACAGAACAATTCAAATGTGAAGAACAACAAATAAAAGGTACACAGCTTCCTACTTAGCAGGGCAATTAATTCACATTGCAGTAGAGGTTAGGGCCAGTGTAACAAAACCAAGGCAAGTGTGTTATCCATTATAATCAGTAAGCTGAGAATTACAGAGTGAGGACCACTTCTGATTTAAAAAATACGCAGTCTACACAGACTATCCTAAGATAAGGGAACCCAGTCATCAGTTGTTGAGGGCTTCCAGACTGTTTTTAAAAAAAGCAATGAGTTGATATACTTATAAATAAAATAGTTTATACAGTAAAAGAGGACACATTATAGAGTGAGAAAACAGTTACGTCCAAAACACAGACTTGTAAAAGTGATGATATCTTACACAACACACGTAGTGTTTTGCATGTAAAACTATTTGGTTTCTGCAAGGAAAAAAATGTGCTTGGTTTTCAGCCGTATTGCAGATATTGTAATCTGAAGTACCTTGTGTGCAAATTTCTCTGAGACATACTAAATGTCTTTTCAAAGCATACAAAACTGCAAGTGTTCTCACCACAGCCTGACGAGTATTTTGTCTTCTCTTACCGCAGAAACACATTTAATTTTTAAAGATTTGTTTTATTTTTAATTATGTACATGTGTTTACTTGTGGGTATGTGCAGTTGCCCAAGACAGCCAGGAGAGGGCAGGGATCCCCTGGAGCTGGAGTTACAGGCAGAGTTGTGAGCCTTCTGATGTAGACTCTGATGATCTAACCCAGGTCCTCCAACAGAACAGCAAGAACTGGGCTGCTGAGCCAGGTCTCCATCCCCTGATGGCACATTTAAAAATGGTAAAAGTTCATGGTACAATGACACATTAAACAACTCGGTGGTAAATTTTTGTTATAAAAGTCATCCTTGGTTTGTAGGGAGAGTCTGCCAGGAAGGGTATGGTAAAGAAGACCCCGCTTTACTCAGATTATCAGGAGTCCTACAATAGTTGCTGCCCAGAGGAACCCTGAAATAGAATTTTTGAATCGTTTACAGGAATTCAAACCTATACTTTTTTCCCCAGCCTGTTTTGTGTTTCATCGTGTGCCTTCTTAGGCCTTGGCAGTGCCTTGTGCAATGGGCACAGTGCTCCTTCTGCAGCTGCTGCTTGACTTTAGCTCTGTGGTTGGTGTAGGGGGAGAGCCGGGCCCCCCTTCCCAGCCTGGTCTTGCACTTCTTGCCATTGTAGGATTTTCTGAGTTTCCTCTGCCCCTGGGTCAGTGTGGCTGTTTGAATGCAATTGGCCCCATAAACTCATACGGAGTGGCACTATTTGGTGCGGCTTTATTGGAGTAGTTATGGCCTTGTTGAAAGAAGTACACCACTGTGGGGGTGGGCGATATGCCCAAGCCACGCCCAGTCAACTCAGTCCATTTCTTGTTGCCTTCTGATCAAGACGTAGCCAGCACTATGTCTGCCTGCACAGCACCATGCTCACAGCCAGGATGATAATGAACTGAACCCACTGAAGTTCAGTCACCTTAATAGAATGTTTTCCTTTATAAGAGTTGCCTTGGTCATGGCGTCTCTTCACAGCAATAGAAACCCTAACTAAGGCAGTTGGGTTAACACAGGAGATTTGCTGACATCTCGGATCTTGGAGAGATTGACAGGAGCCCTTGTCACTTTCAGTGAGCAGCCAGGACTCCACCGTTACATCCTCCAGCTGTTTCAGCTGGTCCTCCTGGCCCTGAGGGTTCAGAGCCTTTTTCTTGCTGCTCATCCCTGTGACTGCCTAGTTCCAGAGTAGGAGCCAAACTTGAAATTTTAGGGAATAGAATAGACAGGAAGCGTTTATTTCAGTTTACAGTTTACAGCCCATCAATTTAGTCATGATGTTTCCTTAATATCCGTAGGTTTGAGCTCAGCTGCGGGAGCCTTTATCACTTGCAGCCCTGGGAGCAGCAGATACCTAAGCACCTGCCCACAGACCAGGTAGGGCAGAAGCCCACATTCAACAAAGAAAGAGGCAGCAGTGAGAACCATAGTGTCCCTTATATGGTGCTGGGTCAGAGCGTTGAGAGTGGCATACCCCAGCATGACATGGGGGAAGCATGTTGGTGGCAGGAGCTGCATGGTTGCCTACTTTCAGTCCTGACATTGACACCAAACCCATATAGATTGCTACAGGTCCATGTTAACAGGGAACGATGTCCTCATCTCTGAAGTAAGCCCCAGGTTGCTTCTCTAATGACTCATTCTGCACCCCCCCCTTTTCTCCCCAGAACTGGAGGCGTCTACTGCTGCAGTCCTCATAGCTCTGCTCCTCAGCTCCGTGGTACTGCGGAGAGTTGCTGTCTCTGCTGTCTGTGTCCTCAGGAGACAGAAGATCTGACTGTAGGTTTGAGGGAGGGTAGTCTAAGGATTGTTATAAAAGGGGCCAGGCCAGCCGGAGGGTCAGGTAAGACCACACACCATCAGGTTTAAGGAGTCTGCAGGAGTTATCACATATCGTTCTGCATACTCAGGAGTCTCATGAAACCTTGGGTAGTTCCCAGCTCCCAGGAAGTGTGTGATTTGCAAGGTCAAGGACTTGACAACAATGCTGACAGCATCCTAGATGACCTGGAGGAGGTGGACCACGGGGTGATGGAAGGAGCACCGACTTCCATGGTCTCCATGGAGACCATCTCTAGATTAGTGGATGGCTAGGAGTCTGTGGGCCAAGTGGAATCTACATTTTTAGAAGTTATAGGTGATCTTTTCTCAGGGCTGTTTCTATTGCTTATGATCAAGAAGTGACAAGGAAAGATGGTCATGACTTGGGAAGGAGACAGAGTGACAGTTCTCTGGCATGGGGTTCTCATCTACTGAGGGCATGCATATCAATTCAGGGGTAATTCACAAATGGCAAGAAAATTATTAAATGGG